CCCCCCGCCGCCTGGGGGTCTAGCTGCTGCCGCCACAGGGGGGCCGGGGGCTGAGCAGGTCCCCGGGGCCTGGGTGTGGGGTTAGGGAACGGGCACCCTGACCATGAGGTAGGCACTCCATGCCGCGTCACGTCAGCGAGAGGCCAGCAGGGAGCCTTATTCTGCCGTGTGCATCCAGCACGGTCTGCGAGTCCGTGGCAACATTTAGAGAAATGCCTGGGAAGAGCCAGAAAGCTTGGCAAACGGATCAGGCCAAGGGCACAGCCCACGGGTGGAGGGAGGGCGGTGGGAAGGACCAGAGAGGCACAGAGAGGACGCTGGCGCCCCCTGCTGCCCAAGAGGCGCCATGGGTACAGCCAGCCACCACATGTGCACCCACACCACACACAGACACCACACACACCACACACACAACACACACAACACACACATAACAGACACACGACATGCACAACACATGACAGACACACGACACACCCCGCAGACAAGTACGCACACAGCATACATATGACAGACACACAGGACACGTAGATAAGACAGGCACACACAAAACACATGCAACAGATACACATGACACACACATGACCCATGTGACAGGCAAATACAACAGATGCTCACACATAACAGACACACAGCACACTACAGACAGAAGCAACGGTGTGAACCATTTCTAATTCAGAAAAAGAGGAAATGCTAATATGACACCGAGACTCTAGGTCAGTAGTTCTCAACCTGTGGGTCGCGACCCCTTTGGGGTTCGAATGACCCTTTCACAGGGGTCGCCTAAGACCATTGGAAAACACATATATCATTACATATTGTTTTTGTGATTAATCACTATGCTTTAATTATGTTCAATCTGTAACAATGAAATTGGGGGTCACCACAACATGAAGAACTGTATTAAAGGGTCGCGGCATTAGGAAGGTTGAGAACCACTGCTCTACGTGGTCTGTTCAAGTTCCATTGGCAGGAAGGCCGTGAGGATCGGGCACAGAGATGTACCTCTGCTTTGCCACTTAGAAGCTGTGTGACACCAGGCAAGTAGCTTAGCCTCTCTGAGCCTCTGCTACCTCATCTGTAAACTGGACAGACTAATTCCTATGTCAAAGGGTCATTGAAATGATTATACAAAATCATAAAGAAAAAAAGGAAATGAAGGTAGTAAAGCCATAGTTTTTAAACAGAGTCCATTAAAGATGATCTGAAACACTAGAAGCCTGATGCACGAAATCTGTGCAAGGGGTTCGGCCCCTGCAGCCCGCTGCCTCAGCCCTCACAGCCCCGGCTTCATCCAGAAGGTCGTCCGGACGGTGGTTCTGCTGTTCGGTCTAATTAGCACATTAGCTCTTTATTATATAGGATGCTTTCTTCCCAAAGCACCGTCAGAGACCTGTGTGGACCTGAACCTGGGAGTCCGAGTGCCCATGCAGATCTCACAGATCTGGAGTGGACGTGGGAGGGGCAGGTGTCAGGATCCACAGTGTGACTTCCCTGAGTGACAGCATGTTCCCGGGCTCAGAGGCCTGGCCCCCGGGGGACGTCGGCAACGATGAGGGTGTGCTTCTGCCTGCAGGGAGCGCGGCCCATCGCCCGGGAGCCGCTCCATCACAGCCCTGTGCAGACTCCAGGCTGCAGGCGACCGTGGTGTAGCCTCGCCCTCCCTCCTGCCCTCCTCTTGCTTCCACATTGATGCATTCTTCTTGTAAAGTTATCAGAAAGAAAAACTAGAGGTGTTTTTTTTAAAACCTTCATCCGTGTAGAATAAAGTTATCAGAAAGAAAAACTAGAGGTGTTTTTTTTTAAAACCTTCATCCGTGTTCCGGAAGAATGTACTGAATGTACAAAGCCCACCACCACCCGACGCCGAGACCCGATTTCTCACCATCGTCAGACGATGGTTAAGCTCAGACGACGGCAGTGACAGCCTGTCAGTGAGCCAGGGCAGAGGTGAGCGAGGCTGCACACGGTGCGGCTGGACGGACGGGGGAATTTGAGGTCACTCACCGCCTGCCATGCGCTGCCGTCCCCGGCAGTGAGGGGAGCAGAGCTCTGCAAGCAGGAGCTGCTCAGGCCGTGCGGGCGACCGACTGCTGCCTCCGTCCCCTCCCCCCACGGGGACCAGAGAAGGGCTGGAGGAGGTGGGCGGTGAATGTCACCCGGGGGATGGAGAACATGGCTGTCAGGGCCACAGACCCGCAGACCATCCACACCAAGCGGGGAGGGCACGTACGAGATAAACTAGTTAAAGCTACTTCCACACAAGTACAGAGTATGTCTCCATCCCAAACAGGCCGCGGGAAGGTGGGGGTGGCGCCCCAGCCGTCAGAGACCACAGCACGGGAAGTGACTTTCCTCAAAGGTGACAAAGGAGGAAGGAAGGGCCTCCCTGGAGAAGCTCCTCCGACACGGACGACGGAGGAAGAAAGGGCCTTAGCGGGGGTCCTGGGACGCTGCGCCCCATCAACCAATGACGCAGTGAAAAGCTAAGAAAAGAGACAGAGAATCAGGGCAGAAAGGCCATTCAGAAACCATCCTCCTGCCCTGAAGAGACGTGTTTTTAGACCAGGGGGTGGGGATAGAGGAGGTATGACGCAGTGAAAAGCTAAGAAAAGAGACAGAGAATCGGGGCAGAAAGGCCGTTCAGAAACCATCCTCCTGCCCTGAAAGACGTGTTTTCAGACCAGGGGGTGGGGATAGAGGAGGCGCACGCAGGGTTCTGTGACAGCAGAAGGGCAGCCCTCGGTTCCAGAGCGGCACCTGGAGCCCACAGAAACAGGGAGACGCCCCCACTGTCACATTCCGGAGCCCACGGGAAGGAGGGTGAGCGTGTGATGCCGTCTAAGGTGACAGATGCTAACGAGCGTCCTGCTCCCTGAACAAAGAAAGAAAACATTTTAGAAACTTCTCCCAAAACCCAGAAGGCTCTACGAGGGCCCACGTACAGAAAAGGAAAAGCGGGCGATTTCCCCGAAGGCAGAATCTGAGCACTGGTTGTTGGCGATGACCGAGGGGTGGATGAAGGGAGGCGTGTCACAGACGTGCCGTCCCCGGCAGTGAGGGGAGCAGAGCTCTGCAAGCAGGAGCTGCTCAGGCCGTGCGGGCGACCGACTGCTGCCTCCGTCCCCTCCCCCCACGGGGACCAGAGAAGGGCTGGAGGAGGTGGGCGGTGAATGTCACCCGGGGGATGGAGAACATGGCTGTCAGGGCCACAGACCCGCAGACCATCCACACCAAGCGGGGAGGGCACGTACGAGATAAACTAGTTAAAGCTACTTCCACACAAGTACAGAGTATGTCTCCATCCCAAACAGGCCGCGGGAAGGTGGGGTGGCGCCCCAGCCGTCAGAGACCACAGCACGGGAAGTGACTTTCCTCAAAGGTGACAAAGGAGGAAGGAAGGGCCTCCCTGGAGAAGCTCCTCCGACACGGACGACGGAGGAAGAAAGGGCCTTAGCGGGGGTCCTGGGACGCTGCGCCCCATCAACCAATGACGCAGTGAAAAGCTAAGAAAAGAGACAGAGAATCAGGGCAGAAAGGCCATTCAGAAACCATCCTCCTGCCCTGAAGAGACGTGTTTTTAGACCAGGGGGTGGGGATAGAGGAGGTGCACGCAGGGTTCTGTGACAGCAGAAGGGCAGCCCTCGGTTCCAGAGCGGCACCTGGAGCCCACAGAAACAGGGAGACGCCCCCACTGTCACATTCCGGAGCCCACGGGAAGGAGGGTGAGCGTGTGATGCCGTCTAAGGTGACAGATACTAACGAGCGTCCTGCTCCCTGGACAAAGGAAGAAAACATTTTAGAAACTTCTCGCAAAACCCAGAAGGCTCTACGTGGGCCCACGTACAGAAAAGGAAAAGCGGGCGATTTCCCCGAAGGCAGAATCTGAGCGCTGGTTGTTGGCGATGACCGAGGGGTGGATGAAGGGAGGCGTGTCACAGACGCCTGGGCTGGCACCGTGTGCAAGGTCCCCGGACACGAACACCCAGCGCGTGTGGGAGGAGAGGTTAGCAGCGCACTGACAGGCATGGCTGAGCCGCTATCACACACACAGGCAGCAGGGAAGACGCCGCCCTGCGCCTTCCTGGGCGGTGCCGCTAATTGCCATCCTGTATCCCAGGACCTCCAGCCCCGCCTCCCCACCCCGAGGGATCAGATCCAGGAACAGCTGCTTCCAGGCCCGAGTCTTGACTTGGGACTCCATCACCCTTGCACCATCGGCCCACAGGAGCACAGCCTCTCTGTGGACACAGCGCCCTCCCTGACCACAGATCCTATAAATCGTGCACCAGTCCACAAGTGACACAAAGCCACCCCACGAGGGCGCCTCGGCGGCGTGGACCAAAGGCTGGGTACTCACTCTTGTTGTAGCAGGTAGCCAGCACGCCTTTGTCCGCGGGGCTGGCACTAATGTGCCAGATTTCACCCACTTGGTGGAGGAGGACATTTTTGTTTATGATGTTGTTTTCGTCGTCAAAATCTATGATGTGGATCTACAGACACAAAGAGAGCAAGCAGGTCAGGACCTCACGTGGGAAAGCAGCGACAGAAGCGAAGGCATCTGGAGCGTCGTCAGCGGTGTTCCTGTTCCGCTAACAGTGCACGGTCTGCACAACCAGCTCACTACACTCCTCTCAGACAGGCGTGACGTCCCCGTGTTGTTAAGATGGCAACCACATCACACGGCCCGCCATACCTGGTCCTAACGAGACGAGACACCCCCCCCAAGCTCTGTGCCAGGTGGCTCACTGAGGCCGCAGCTCATGCCAGGGCGTCATCCAGGGCAGTGCAAATCGGCCCAGAGCCTCTGGGACCTGCTGGACGGCTGTGGGGAAAGGAGGGGCGGGCCTGGGACTGACCGGCTCTGCCCACTCCTCGGTGGGCGTGGCACATCACCCCTCCCCCACAGTTGAGGACTGGGATGGGACTGTACACCAGTACACCTTGAACTTCTTTTTAAAAACCAGTCCAACAGCTGTCAACCCTCTGGTCCTATAACATCTACATATATAAAAGGCTAATATGCTAAGTGTCTGACCATCTGACAGGTCGCTATGGCACACACTGACCACCAGGGGGCAGACACTCAATGAAGGAGCTGCTGAGCTGCAGTGACTTGGCAGCTGCAGTTCTCGGGTGATACACCTGGAACCAGAGAGGAGAGAGCCCGATTCCATGGTGTCTCACCCGAGAACTGCCCTCTCCCAATCCGGGACCCCACAGGGGATGTCAGAGATCCAGTCCTGAATCTGGTTTACTGCACACTTGCGTTTGCATTCCACACCCTGTACAACAGCAACTTTGCAGAGTGCCCTCTCGCACTCCGGGACCCCTCAGGGGATGTCGGAGAGCCAATTTCAGCCCGATCCCCACAGGCTGAGGGACCCCACCCGCCGGAGGAACCCTGCTCACTCCGCAGGCGCCAGGGAGGGACTGCGGGAGGTTGGCTCCAGGGCGTGTCGGGTCTGTCTCCCCCAGTCCCACTCCACCGGCCACGTTCTAATTAATTTCTTTTGAATGTGCACAAATCCGTGCACTGGGTGACTAGTTAATTATAATAATCACTAGAGGCCCAGTGCACGGACTCGTGCACCAGTGTGGTCCCTCGGCCTGGCTTGTGGGGATCAGGCAGAAAGGAGCAGTCCGACAACCCCCGAGGGGTCCCAGATTGTGAGAGGGCGCAGGCCAGGCTGAGGGACTCCACCGGTGCACGAATCCATGCACCAGGCCGGTTTCGGCCTGATCCCCGCAGGCCAGGCAGAGGGACCTCACCAGTGCATGGCACCAGGCCTCTAGTCTATAATAATAAAAGCATAATATGCTAATTAGACCAGACATCCTTCCGAACGACCTTCTGGACGAAGCCGGGGCTGAGAGGGAAGCTGGTGCTGGCAGCCAGGGGAAGAAGGCCTACTCTTGCACGAATTCCATGCACGGGCCTCTAGTATGCGTATAAGATCTTTGGTTACTCTCTTCCCGCCCCCCACCTCCTGCTTCCCTCTGAGATTCATCAGTCTGTTCCATGTTTCCCTGCCTGTGTGTTGAGCATCTGCCCCCTGGTGGTCAGTGAGCATCACAGCTACCGGTCGCTTAGGTTTTTATATATATTAGGGTAGATACTGCATTTTAGCTACTAAATGCAAAGTTAAACATGCTGTCTCCATGCTTTTCTGGATAAATTTCGAGGAATTAAAATGATTTCCACTTTCACTCTCTTATCAATACTCCAAGCCAATGAGAAAGATAAAACATTAACTTCAAAAATAAATTTATATAAGAAAATAATCGTGGGCCTGCACAAAGATTTCAATCAGAGAACGTTGGCTGCGGCATTGATTATGGTAATGAAAACCCAGAAGTCCCCTCAATGTCCGGCGTAGGGAGGCTTGGCTAAGCTGTAGACCCGTCTGGACATAACGTATGCGCCACTCTGTGCGGTGAGGGACTGCAGTGCCCTCAATGCCCGGCCCAGAAGTCCCCTCAATGCCCGGCGTAGGGAGGCTCGGCTAAGCTATAGACCCGTCTGGACGTAACGCATGTGCCACTCTGTGCGGTGAGAGACTGCGGTGGGGACGGGCCATCGTCACTGAGGCATGAAGGAAGACTGGGCGAGCTGCCTGTATGTTCGTGGACAGCAGGCATGTCCCCGTGACAGAGGACCTGGAAGTGACTGGTTCTCTCCTGATGGTGAGAGTACAGACTGACTCTCTCCTTCTTTGTGGTTTGTGCTGTTAACATTTAGCTCAACACAGACATGCATCACATGCATAGGCTAACATGCGTTGCTCAGCCGTCAGAACAAGCATTAAGTGCTATTTTTAGCAACATGCCCTTGACCCCGGAAGCCCCTGCACTCCATGCCTGCCACAGGGGCCCGTGCTGCCCCGACACATCCCCTCACAGGGCCTGCATGGGACAGTAACCCCCAGGCCCCGTAGGGGTGGCTCTGGACTCAGAGCAGAATTCAAACTCCCCACTGCCACTGATCGCCGTGTGACCCTGAAGCTGCTTCCCCGAGGGCACCCTGAAGACGAGCTGTGTGCTCCTGGGCCCCGGCCCGCACTCGAACCACAGAGAACTGTCCTGTGGGAAAGGATATGCAGTCACAGAACAAGCAATGCGACGAGAAGGCACCGGAATAAAGGCGAGTGGGAAAGATTGGGGCACAAAGAAAAGACCAATTCCTATCGGCCCAGAGGGCAGGGAGCACCTGTGCCCGGCTGGTTAGTGCTTAACCACGTCTGAGCTCTTTAACAACAGCTTATCACGAAGACCACACTCATAGGCTCTGAGTCAGCACTGTCAGGACTGCTAAAGTCGGGCTCACCAGGCAGGGCGATGGACATCTAGCAGTGAGAGCTCTAGGATTCATGAGGAAGCAGGGCCCAGATCACAGCTGGGCACGGGAGTCCAGCCAGCCTTTCTGCTTCCTCTCTTATTGAACAAAGATAAAATCTTGAAAAAAAAGCGTTTAAAATTGAGTATGAGAAGTCAAAAGCTTCCCTCTCAGGGACAGGTAAGGCCACCTCTGAGCAAGATGCTGCCGGCCACAGCACTGCCCTGGCTGGAAGGCTGGCTCACCCCCACAGCAGGGACCCCCTGGCCTCCCCTACCCCACCCCACCCCAGCCTTGGCCTCACCATTAATGCGCCCCTGCCTTGTCGTTCCTAACAAAACACACCCCGGCTGGCCTGGCCTTTCCTTGAGAAGAAGACATGACAGTGCAGGCGGCAGGTCGCCAGCACCAGCCCTCGTCACGCC